GAACTTCAAACATGTGTCCTATGCAGGTAAATATTTGGCCTTATCGGATGGATTCAAGACAGTCAAGCAAGTAAACGTGCCAGGCGTTCCACCGGTCAACGAGTGGAGTGACATTTAAACTCCCCTTGCAAACGATATTGATTCGCTATGGACGAAAAGTTAAATGTTATATTAGAGGGAATGCAAAATTTACATGTTTAACAGTCTCGTATAGATAATGTTGAACGTTATGTGTATTTCAACAGTGCATCAACAGTGGTCAACGACCAGCGTATAAGATTACTCGAAAACAAACAATTGAACATTGAGACCTGTCAACATGAAGGAAATTTAATCTTTTCCGGGTGTCCAGATAAAGAAGGTGAATGACCAGAATCCATTGTTGAATATTTTTTAGGTAAGAAAGTGAACCTTGCTAAAAACTTTAACATTGTAAGAGCGTTTAGAATGGGTGGTATAGAAAACAAAAACCCTCTGTTCCAGGGCAATCCCCAATTAATTCAAAGCCGTGTAGTACCTTAGCAACATTTAGTGATGTGAGACAGGTTCACTATATTCTGAGTAAAGCTAAAACACTTAAAGAAACAGGCATAAGCATATTACGTGACTATCCATGGCCAAGCGTTCTTAACATGAAGCCGAAAACGCCAAACTAACTTTTCTGTCGGCGATCATTGTAAACAAAGTACATGTAAAACATAAAATTCTCTTTCCGGACTGGTACTCAATGCTTTCCAAACTTCGAGTAACAATTGTGAATGAAAGAATAGCGAACACACTAAATGATCAAAGTAACATGTTGGCTCGATCTATGAATCACCCATTATTTCAAAACACCAATTCCACTACTTTACAACAATCTCTTTTGTACAAAAAATATCCCCGGAAACAAATCTGATGACACTAACGTAAAACAGGTCTATAATCCGAATAAACAACATACTGCACCCATTGATGTAAACACGCAAGATGAACATCGGCGTAGCAGATCCTTAACCCGTTGTGTGAGTGTTCCCCGACGTCAACTTTCCCCAATAACGTTTCACGCGAGATCGCCGTCCATCCAACCAGTATAACGGCGATGTTGACCAAAATACATCTCAAACAGCGCAATCGACGATTAACGTCACATGGGATAGACAGGGGTCAGTGAACAATATTCATGCCAGTAATAGCAGTGATACAAACAAAAGAACCTCAAAAGTTGTGAACTAAAATGGGAACGATTAACGTCTGTGGTATTAAATCAAGATCAAACTTCCCAGTATTTATAAATTTAGTATCAAACTATGATATTTCTTGTTGTACAAAATGTAAGATGAAATAAACATTGACATTAATTATTATCATGTATTTCTAAGTCTTGAGACGCTCTGGTGGGGTGGGGGCTTTTATTAAAAATGATATTTGTAAACATGTTGGAAAAAATCGATTCTACATCAGATTACGTATTTTGGATCAATATATTATAAAAATCCATTTCAGTCAAATAAATGTTTGATATTAGGTATTGTGTATATCCCACCAGAGTCCTCAAGATTCTTCAACCAAGATGAATTATTAATTTTTGAAAATGAAGTTGTTGATATGTGTAACTTATATGAAAATGTTATGTTTACTGAGGATGCTTATGTTCATATTGGGTTGTTACAGGATTTCTCTTAACCAGACGAAATTTTGTCAAACTGTTTTGATTTTGATGAAAATATGATAGATTTTTTTCAATCAGACGGATGTATTAATACGGAGGCATAAAATGTAAAAAGAGCGTCTAAAGACTTTAATAGCAATAATATAGGTACACAACTGGATGATGTTTGTATATATAATAACTTGTATATACTCAATGGTAGATTTGGGATTGATAGCCTAGAAGCGGCTTGTACATTTAAAAATAACTCCGTTATAGATTACACTATAGCCTCTGTAAACTTATTAAAATATGTCAAAGATTTCTACATTACTGAACTGATAGCATTTTGTCCGACGGACACTCACTTCTTACAACAATTATCGGATTTGAGACAGAGGTCTTAAAAAGTAGTCCAGGTGATAGCACCACCGAGACAAGTCCCCAGCACTTTAAATGACAATCAGGTACAAGTAAAGAATTCGTACAAAACATAGACCAAGAATATATATTACATTTTTTAAACCTTCTAGATAATATTCCTTCGGAAGAATCTGCGCAGTCACCGTTTCTAGATGATATCATTCAAAACATTTCCATTATTTTTCGAACTCCGCCAATAACACCTTTCATACTAGAAATGAGTATTCTCATATTCGTAAAAAACAAAGCTTATGATATGAAATTAGCCTTATTGAAGCAACCGCATGCATGTACATGTTTATATAACGCCCAGAAGCATAGGTAGCTACAAAAACTTTACTTAGACATTAACCCCTACAATATCTTATTATTGATTGAGAAACGATCACTACGCAGTCAACCTTATCATTATCTATCTATGTCCCAGACGGAGTAAACTTATACTTTCTTGCAATTATGGAAGAAATACTTAAAAGCTCTCCAGAATAGATTTCATCTTAACGGTATAAAGAGTCACAAATAAGTGAGAAAATCTGACTGCGTGTATCTTGATTCCTACTACAAACATCGTAATACTATACTAATATGATATATCACATATACCCGTCAAATGTGACAGGAATATTCTTGAATACCGGTACATGCGTAAATTAGATTTCAAATATAAAGAAATGCTCTTAGGTAACTCGATTCTTTAAGCACAAATTGAAATACTATAATAAAAGAATATTGTTTTTATCATGTGTTACGCAATTAGAAATAACGAGGCATATGTTTGAGCATATTAACAGTGTCAAAATTGACAGTTTGCTTTACAAATAAATAAAATCGCGCCTACACAATATATATTTTCATTTGATACACGCAGATGAGAAAAAAAAGAGTTTTGAATACTATATATAAAACATCATTTACCTAAAGTTGATGTATGATCGTCGACACGACGTTAATACCATCTGCTTAATTAAAAATACTTTTCGTTAAATTTATAAGCATTTAACAATACAACCCATTTAGGAAAAAAATCCCTAAATTAAAAGTAAATACAAATTGTGCGTGTTACAAAATACAGAAAAAAATGTATTTAATTGTGTGTTACATCTAAGGATGTTTCAAAATTCAAAATTGTACCAGTTCATGTTAAATGGTGAATTCTGCTTAAGTCGGTGCTAGGGGGCTTGGATGGTAGTTTGCACTTAACAGTACCGTCCATGAACAGGCTCAATCAAACCGAGCCTGCAACATTTTTAATTATGCCTTGTTGGGCTTTCTTTAGGGATTCTTGTTTTCTCTATTTTATGCTTTAAATAGTTATAAAATTTTATCTTGAAGTTCATTATTGCAATATTTAAAAAAAAATCAAATATATTTGTTTATCAAACTTGTTGGCCTACTTTAAAAAACATACAGTTTGTGATTTTTTCATTGTTTTTTAGACGCGTTGGTACATGTATACAAACTTATTGTCCACAAAACAAGTCTCATTGTTTAGTATTGATATGTGTACAGAATGGATTCGAACGTGTTTTAGCTTTTATTTCACGTCAACCGAACAAAATAAATCCTTTAAAAAAACTTAATGAAACAAACACAGTGACAATAACATGAAAAGACTATTCAAACAATTGCTTCCATGAAAAAATGATATTATGTGCAAATTGTATATGTGTTCAATGATAAATCGAACTGTGGTTTTGTTTGTTGTCAGGGCATTACAAGAAATTTAAATATAGATTACTCTCGATATCTCAGATAAACGAAATTTGATGCAAACGGAGATAACATACATACTAAGTATACAAGGATTTTTGACTGAACTTTGAAAATTTTCGATTTACGCGATATATTGAGTAAAGCAAATTTTGATATTGTAACACTGAAAATTAACTGCAGTTGTTATTTAAGATCCCAATTAAATATTGATAAGTCATATAATTAATATGTGTAAGTGTAATTATTTAGTCAATTATTTGTTCAGATGTACCTCTCTCATATTGTTTCTTATATTAGCAACAAAAGGAACTTTTATTTGATGTAAAGGAAAGAAGGATTGTCAGCCATATACCTATTGTTAGATTGTCACGTTTCTTAAATAAAGAACAGGTGTTTTGAACAACAATTATATTCAACCTTTTAATAAATTTTGAACATTTCAAACATTTATATTTCATGGATACCTTAAAATAGTCTAAAGTTTTTTACTTTTGAAAATAATATCTACAAGTTCGTAGTTTTGCAATGCAATAAATGTCGCAAGCCATAGCTTGGGTTTTAATGTATATAATTTATCACTTTAAGACACATTGTTTTGCTAAATTACTTTTGATGAATGGCTCTTTGGTTTCCAATTATAGAACACGCAAGAAATGAGTTGACTTTTCCGTATTCACACAGATTAAATTAACACCTATAAATACTTAAAAGCGTGATTGTAATCTTCAAGTGTTTCCGATTATTTCTTAATATATGACGTAACGTTTATTACGAGTTTTAATAATGACTATGATAAATAAAAGAACGAACAAATACGAAGGCAGTTGGTGACATTTTAAGTCACAGCGTAGCAATCGCTGTTTCAAAAGCAACTTAACTGATATTTAAACTGAAAATTTTGACTGTGAACGTATTTACAGCACCAAGAAAACACATATCACTTGTTGTAATTAGTATAGAAGTCTCTAATTAAATTTTATTACAACACCACTGCATGTGTAGTTTTGATATGATTAGTTTTAAACATATGAGCGTATAAAATATAAATCGGAAGAACACTATTGGCATATCAAATGTATATGCTAACACTTTTTTTTTGCTGAATGATTATCAATAACAAGCTCTGTTAATTAAATTATTGTAAAAACAGTAACGTCTGCAGCTTTCCTATCGCTGTTGAATTTTGTTTCAAGACATAAAACCAGTTATGTTTATCGGAGAGCCTTCAGTCTCGCCTCGTGCTGTGCGCTAAGAGAGTTGCACGCTTTCGTTCGATGTTTGTTTCTTTGATTAAAAATACTAACTTGCCTAGATATATTGGTGCTGTGTTCCGAGCATGGATTTTTTAGACCGTCGATTTGTCTCGGATGTGGAGTTTCTTTACTGATTTCCTTTTTGTATTTAATTACTCGCAAAATGAATAGACGCGTAACTGTAATAGTCGTTTATTTGATGTTGAATTTGTATTTCTATCATGTGCGGGGAGATTTTGTTGACTTTCCGTTTGGCAAAGGAAAAAACAAAATGTTACAATCTATTACGAATTGGTCTATTTCTTTTAGGGTGGTATTCGATAAATTTAAGATTGAACAGCAGCGGTCAGCCGATTCCGCTGTAATGAATTTTCCTGGAATAATTAATTTCCAGAGAGGAAAGACGAAAATTGACAAACTTAATGTCATTTTTCCTGTTGATTCTACTTCTTATAAAAGAGAGTCAATTACAAAATCGTATGAAAATCATAAGACGAAGATCTCATCTGTATTAGGTACAATCAATTTCGATTCTACGGAGAACAACATTCTAAAAGAAATTAATAGTACCCAATTAGGCCAAGACCGTCTTATACCAAAGAAAACAGAAGTAGACACCAAGCACAAGGAGTTAATTCCTTCCAATGCAACAAGATTACAAACACAATCATACAATTTCTTGGATGAACTCCAAGCAATTAAAGCCAATCAACAAACATCTAGAAAGAAAATTACAACACATCTGAGTGGAATAAAAGGATTTTCTTTAAATGGAAATTATTCCGGAAGACCTAGAAGTTCTGTCAAATCCAGTAGTTCTGTGCATGAGAGAAGGAAACGTAATTCAGAACAGGCGGCTGCACATGATTATTTGTTTCATAATATAGAACTCAGTAACTTATCTGAGGTGTATAGATACTTTCATTCTGTTTTAAATACATTAAAACATCACATAAACTTTACCATGAGATCTGTGGAAATGAACACAACATCGGACGCGGAACAATTGTGCATAAGTACGTTTGAGGCTTATTATGGAAAAGCAGAAAGTAAGTAAAGTGTCTTTCTTATATTATGTAAAAGAAATCACAGTGTGAATTCAGATAATAGTACCATAAATGCTAATTGTGATTATATCGGGCGCCGAACAGTATGGTTCATGTTATTAAAGGTAATGAATTGTATTTGACTTTTAATTAGAATCAAATCACTTTAAACGTAACTTTTTTCAGTTGACATGTAGACGCATTGTTAAATTAGTCCGCAACCAAATAGGTCATAAATATATCAATTCCTTCATTATCAAAATATAACAAAACTGTAAAAATCACTAAGCATCAATATCTTTTAAATTTCACAGATTATTTTTGGCCAATCATCGTCAATATCTAAATAATTAATATACTTCTCTTCCTTCTTAACGAAAGCTCTAATTTTTATTTACTATCATGGAAAAGCTGCTTTGAAGATTTATTTTATTTAGTAGAACTACTTTATATAACTACCACAGCGATTTTAAACGTGTTCCCAGAAGGAAAGAGATCGTTTAGCTTTATATGAGGTAGAAGTTCTGTTTTCCTGGATATAATGTTTTCTGTTCGCACGGAATGAGTCCTATAACCAATTTAATTTTGTGTCAATCTGAATAAAGAATTACAGCAAAAAAATAAGCAGAAATATAAAAAATGCCCCTAAAAAATGGAATAAGAACAACAAAAACAAGAAAAAAAGAGAAAAGAAAAAAAATAATTAAGAAAAAACAAATGATAAATAAATACCCAAAGGCACAAGAAAAAGCACAATCTTTGCTTAGACACTTAGAGCTTTTAAGCAACGTTAATATAAATATCATCTAATTTGAAAATGGTGTTACCTTTATTCGGCAGATTGAGCAAATTTTTCAAAATTGAATGTTCAACATAATGATAATAATAATGGAAATAATATCAATAAAATGAAAGAAAAGATCTATAGAAGAATGTTAAATAAAATTATAATTAAATGCGAATATTACAACTCATTCAATTGAACCATTTACACTACCTTGACTTTTATACTAAGTTGTTTTGAACAATTTCTTCTATTTAGAAGACATAAAAGTGTATTTAAAAATCTGGTTGCCATGCCACTAGAGTGACTGCGATTCATATATTGAATTGCTTTTGTCACGTTTTTTTAGAAGGATATGGTGTATTTTGTTTATTGTCGCAAATTTGAAAAAAAGTGAGAAGGTTAGCTCGAAAACAATTTTTTGAGTAAAAAGCATTTATTTGCATTGCTTTTTTTGTTATGAAGATATCTATTTTATCATCTCAAACTGAGTATTTTATTATTGTTATTTTTTTAATATATATGTAATGTTGGCAGATACTGTTATTATAATAATACGTTTTTGTGATACATTTAACTTATACATGTATGACGCCTTAAATTTAGAATAAGAAAATGCAAAAATTCCAAAAATATTGTATGCAAATTTTTTTTACCAGGTTTTCTTTATTCCTTTTATATGTAATATGATTATGAGCTGCGAAGGAATTCACATTTATCTTTAAATTACCGATATAAATCGCAGCCATTTATTGATTTTAAAAGAATACTATTTGATATTCTACATGTTCTAAGCTTTTAAGTGAGTAAAGAAACCTATATTAAAAAGCCTGAATGCAAAAAAAGCTATATTCCATAAAAAACAGGAAGCATGTTTATCTTGTCTTATTTCCTTAATTTATGTTTAAAGAAATGGAGAGCTATTTTCGTTGACACAGATAAATGTAATCCCCAGTTATATTGAAAACTCTAAGCATGCAAAGAAATGTCATTTTGTATCACTGTCAAAGTATGTAAATTATACATCCAACCTTTACATACCGGCAAATATCCTAAATTCTTTCTATGAAAAGCAGACTTTGATAGGTTTCTTTGCAAAATGAATGTTGAAGTATTTGTGTTATTCCGTGCAAGTAGATGTTATGTTGAAAGTATGTACTTAAAATCTTTATTTTTTTTTTTTTTGAAATGTTAAAATATTTTGTTTGCGACTGAAGGAGGTAAAAAAAGAAGTCAGCATAAGATTGTACGGTTTCTCTTCAGTGTCAGTTAAAAGATGCTGTATGCATTATTAAATGAATAGTTTATAGTCTGTGTATATTCTGCGAATATCATTACAGTATGTTGTGCTGTTTTACCAGGCTGAATACATCACATTCGAATTCATGAAACATTTACATCGAACTAAATATAGACATGTATTATAATACTCCTATTATGTAATTTGTGATTAGAAAAAAAAACACTTTCTACTGGCGCTATCAACACCATTGGTGAAAATACACGAGGAATCATTATAAGGTATAGTCACAATCTTTCAAAACCTCGGTGTTATCATGTCAGCTATTTAGTAAAAGAATACTGACTGCTTAAGCAACACACGAAAAGATTAAGCATTTGTTTAATACCTGAAACATGCAATTCTTCAAAGAAAAGTGCTTGTCATTCATATGGTGTTATTCCCCTCCTGAGACTTGTAATAAAAACAAGCAATGGATTTCTCTTCTAGATATCTTAACCATAAGAGCTTAAACAGTAATAACCCCAAGGGAATATCTTCAAATTCGTAAAAACGTTCAATTTGGAATGATGTTAACCAGACAAATGAGTACAGACATAAAATGTGTGTTATTACATCCTTAAATTGATTCCAGTTCATTTTTGTTTCCAGAGCTGAGTTCAATCTGATTTTAGATTATGCTTTACGGCTTGTGAAAGTAGTATATTAATAACATAATTTCGGGATTAATTAAGGACAATTCCTAGAGTTTCATAGAGACATATGTACGAGTTGACAATATGAAAAAGTATGTAGTAAAAAATACCTGGACATAGGTAAAGCCTTATTAGGAAGAAGTCCAAAATTTCTTTCGCTAAAATAATTATTTGCTTTCATTTTCTTTCTTCAATTAAACGCTTTAAATTATTTTTATAGAACAGTTTCTATTTTGCCTGTAAGTCTATGTTAGATGTGTAGCAATCTTAAAATTCAGGAAAATTTGTAATAATGCATGCGAGTTTTCCTTTCCCCATCGTTATTATGAAAGTCTATGTAGACAGTATAAAAGTAACAATAATTTGAATATTCTTTTATCTTAATGACTGTGAATAAGCTTTTCACTATCATGCATGACAAAGACGATTTTATCAAAACGCAGACGTGAAAATAACGACAGAACTATAAATATGCTAATTACATATTATATTTATTTTACAACAGAAAACAAAGAGTTTGAAAAAATCGATATGTATATCGTTCAATTTTCTTTTGTTAATCTTAATTATTATTATCATTTATAATTTTTGTATTGGATACATTACTTCAATGTTAAGTATTTAACCAATTTAAATTTTAACAACTTATTCATGTTAATGCGAAAGAGCGTTTTTGAAATATAGCTGTTTCGCTGATTCTATTATTAAACATAATAGGAAATGATGTGTAAATACAAAATACAAAATATGATTTCAGACATAATACTTTTAACTTAACGTTAACATATTACTTTTTTAATTGTTTTGAAACTTTAAAGTGGCATTATGTTCATATGCTCATTTTGTAATTGAGCAGAATTGACTATACATTATTAATGATTGACTATCACAATGGAGATTGACTAACAGTTGGTATTTGAAAATGGTAAGGATAAAATAAAAATCTACCTGAAATATAAAAAGCCCCACTCATTTTATAGTTTGAACGTAACAGTTAAATCCGATGGATATTTATAAAAACAATGATGTGAGTTATCTATTGTTCACGCAAAGTAAATTATTTAATAGAAGGGAAATATGTCAAAATTTAAACATTGGTTGACTTTCAGATTTTCACTCTCTAAATACCCTTTGAATACATTTTTATATCGTTCAAATGAATATCTCCCTACCTTTATATCCTTTTCCTGTGTTAATTTCCAGTCTCGTGTTATTAAAAACATCGTTTCATAATTATGATCTTTAGATGTCTTTTTATAGTTCTATATTGAATCGGTGTTTTGTTTCTAAAAGTAATTTGAATTGAAATATAATGATCTTTAAAACACAAAAAAGATATACCACTTGTATATTAAATAAAAATAGCTTTGTTATAAATAGACAAATAGAAAACTCTTCATAATATACTTCTTTGGTTACATACTTAAAGTATTTTTAACAAAAGTATGATTAAAAGCTTTTGTTACAACCAATTCAGTTAATTTACAAAAGGAATTATTCTACCTATTATTTCACAAAGTGTGTTGATTTATTTCATTTTCAATTCAATGTGAATGTTTGCCATTTATTATTTTATTTACATCGCTTGGTTTTATTTTTATATGTTTCCTTGATAATTGGGATGTTGTAATGCCAAAGATATATCTATTTTGGATAAATTGTGTTCTCTGTTTTTTTAAAAGAACAATGTGTGTTCGATCCCCGGGAGATGCTTTGGTAGTTTAGCGCGGAGGAAGGTAGTCTAGTACTGGTGTAACCCTCCAGGAACGATGGTTAGGAAACTATCTAAGTTAATATCTTCAACGTTGAATACTGTCTGTCGAACATTACATCATTCATTTAACGAGTAGAATGGTAAGAAATGCCTACACTTCTTAGAAACAACTGCTATTTGTTGACGAACTTCCTTTTACGTTCATTAAAGAGTTGGTATAAAATATTTCTAACAAATTGTATGAGCACATTAGAATTGTGATGCTGTTATTGATTATTTTGTAATTAAAGATAACAGTGTTTACAGTGATTAATATAAGACTGTTATCAAAGGAACAATTAACAAAAATCACTACATTTGCGGAACTTTCTTACATGTATTGAATGGTCAAATATTTAATTTTCATATCTATTAAAAGGAATGTATGAAACAAGCAAAACAGCAACAAGTGACTTATGATACAAACATGCAGCTAAAATGCCTATGTATTCGATGTTAAAACTATAATACAAAGAATTGTCTTCATTACCAAATCTTAAAGCATGATTTAACATTAGAAATAATGCAAAAGCAAACATGACATGCGTTTCTCAAGTATAAACAACTTGTTGAGACGATTACAAATGAACATAATTATTGCACCTAGAAATAAGAATTTATTCATTTAAAGTATGATTCTAGTGAATGATGTAATTTAGATAACAATTTGTTTCACATTTCATAACTTTATATAAAGATTTAAGGAATTTCAAAGAAATTCAACAATATATTTTGCCACAGTCGAATTGTCAGTCCTAGCATATACAAATGTTTCATATCATTGTAGTGACAATGATTTTATAAATTTTCGTCATCTGGCTTTCTACATTCTGGAAGTACTGACTATGAGACAATTAGTCACAAATCATTGAATTAATGGTTAATCTTTCTTTTTTATATATTATATTTTTATATTCGTGTTTGCCATTAATTATTTTATTCAAAATCAAGATGAGTCAGATGTTTTTTATATAGCGTAAGATTTAAACTGTGATTGCATAATTTGTAACGAGTAAACCTTAATTTATTAATATTGGCAATATAAGATATCTGTCACAATTAATTTATAAATTGAATAATGAAGACTATCCTTTTACTTTTTTAAAACTATGGTATGTATTTAGACTGTGAATTAAAACTGAAATGATTGTGTGTTTTTTCTATGATTGTGTGCTTTGTAAGAGCGAGTCGTAATTAAAGTTTCTGTTCGGTATTACCTAACATAGTCTTATTTCCATTTCCCTCGAGGAATAAAATTTTTACTAAACATGTTCACAATTTAGTCACGTTTCTTTAGTATTGACGTTAGAAATACAGCAACCATACCGTGAAATAATTGTAATATGGCCGTCAAAATGATTTTATTCTCATTATTCTACGACATTGGCTGCTTGAACGTGATTAAAACAACCATTTCGAAACCTAGATTCTCTTCGATGACATCAGTATGGTTGAAGTCAAGATGATGTAGATGTGTGTGTTTTGTTGTTTTCTTTTTTGTTTTTGTTTGTTTTGTTTTTTTCGTGTTTTTTTGTTGTTGTTGTTTTGTTATTGCAAATCACCTTTCAAATTATAGCAATATTTTTGACAGCACCAATAGCGTATAATTATTTACTTTTGAAAAGGTTACTTCTGATGGAGTTCGATAGTTCGTGCTTTCTCGATGATAGATATACAAGTATCAAAATGTTTTGGCATGTTCGATACGGAAATGGTTATGTATGCATATTAATATTTTTCAATTATTTCTATGACCTGATACCTCTATAGTATTTACTTTTGCCACGTCATAATGAATTAAATTGTGTCAATTCAGAAATTTGTTTGTTTCAAATTTGCAAATTTGTCAAAATTATCAAAACATAGAATTAGTCTGAACTTATATTTTCTAGAAAATGTTTTTTGAATTAATGCAGTTATATCAAAATTGCACTTATATCTTAAATTTTTTTACCCTATACAGTGGTATGCCTTTTAAAAACGTCTACGCACAACTTCTAAAACGGATCTTTAAAGATGCCCTGAAAGACTGAATATGAAGATTAGGGATGCCAATTTAATCTCCTTAGAACGCCGGTCTGAAAGATTTTTTTCGGAGATAATTTCTTGCTTTGTCGCGAATAAATCGAATCATTAAAACAAGCCTTAGCGAATCCGTTGTAATTGACATTGCCCAATATGGCAAGTCTTTCACATTTATCTATTCTGACAAATTATTGCATAGCCATTAGTTTATTATAGAGTTCACTTTAGGGACCTTCGGCAAGATCTTAATAAGTAATGAATATTCATGTTTGGCTTGATTGGGCTAATCAATGCATGGAAATGCCATCAATTTTAGAATTGTATTAGAGATTTAATAATTATGTGCTCGCGGGACACTTCTATGGAAGTTGACATTATTTTTGAAGACTTTTATTCTCTAATGGGCAATATTGTTTGCGATGGCGTGGTCAATATTCTTCAATATCTCACTTTTATCATTTTGGTAAAGAAGAACGTTTTGTATGTTCTGTGATTGAAAAAAATTGTTATTGTACGGTCCTTATCCTACTACAACAGAACTATTTCAGATTTTCTCCCTTGTTTCCTGTGCATCTTAAATATTATACAAATATCATAATGCGGAAGTGTGATATTTTCATGTTTGTAATTTTGGCATTATTTTAGATTAAGCAAACTATAATGTAAATAAAAAAGTAAAATTTCCTTACATAAGACACAAAAGAAAAATACAACTGTTATGCCAAGAACGTGGGCGAAATATTTAAACTCATAACTTATATTTTACTATAATAATTATCTTTGTTTTGTCTGAAAATAAAACCTGCTCTTCCTTAATCAGGAATGGTTTCGTCGATTTAAGTAGTGAATTCGGTATTTGCTGTAACATAGATTTGAATAAACAAGAAGATCTAACGACAAACGATTTGTTAAAACCCCATCTGCACGTTTCTTTGTTAAAATGGTATGCTTTTGAACAAGATGTATACAAATGTTTTTGACCATTTGCTGATTTTTCCATATTTCTACAGGTATTTTACTTCATTTGTTTAATTTGTTTACGTTCAAAATTCAAACGGCAATGCTCGAATGATAACAACTATTTAATAGTACAATTGTTACTTTTATCTGCGAAAAAAGGGCATACAAGGATAACTGTCACAAAACAGCATGTATCAAAGTGGGAGCAGTGACTTGTATTTTCAACAACAGTTGTTTGCTTTATAATACCACCACTTTGTCGTCAGATGGTCTTTTTTTGTTTGCTTTGTTTTTCATTTTGTTAAGAATGACATTAAAATTTAAAATTTTCATTTTGTTAAGAATGATATTAAAATTTAAAATCGGGCTTATATTTTTAGCGGTATATTTTAGTATTATTATGATAATAATGATAAAAAATGATAGAAAAATAAAATAATAATAATAATGATAATAATAATAATAATAAATAATAGTAATAATAATGATACTACTACTACTAATAATAATAATAAATGTTCTTTGCATGATCTTTATTAATAAAAATAAAATCCTGTATTTTCGCAAAGGAGCAAATCACACACATAAAAATCTCTCTAACAAAGCATTTTCATCCCAGCCAAATATTTTATAATTTACGTTTACATGGTTTAAGCAATATATCACAAATATTTACTAAAAGCATCTTGTCATAACTGACTTCTTGTTAAAATTTTAAATTAATGGAAAAGGAGCAATTACCATCGGCTTCTTAAAAGATTCTTAAATGAAGTTTATTTCTCTGCAGGGTCTTGTTTGAATAACAAAATCACTGCAGACGGTTTAAGGAGATTTTTAGATGATTATACAGTGCGTTAAAATTCGCATTATTTATGGCTGTTATAACATCGTAGCTTTGTTTGCCATCGATTAAGGATTAATAAAGTTCAACCTAGGAAATATATCAAATAGTGTCTCTGTTGTTAAAGTTATACACGAACATCATGTCATTTTGATTGCAACAAGTAAATGAATATATATAACGCTTTGAGTATTTACATAAACAATTTAATTTTACTGAAGGATGGAAGTGGTTTAATATGAAATTCTTTAAATGCTTTAAAATTCATGTTTTATTGACAGTTGTGTTGTTGCTATCACTTGCATAGGCGTCTCCATTTCAGCTTCGTTGATGCAGTTATACATTGTGATATGAATTGTAGAATCTTCACTGTTAGAAAAGTAGTGCACTATTTTCCTAGTGTCTCGAGATAGTGTAGTAAAATTCTTTTACCTTAGTACGTGTAATAAAACTGTAGCCTATGCAAAGACGGAAGCTGTTACAATAGTTTTTAATCCGGCTTAAACAAAGTCATGCTAAACAAATCATATTGATACATCGGTCCCCCACGGGGTTTCACATTTCAGATTCTTATATTTATATCATCCTTTGTATATTTCAGATGATGGACGGTTATATTGCAATAGTAGCTGGGACAACTTTTCCTGTTGGCCGAGAACACTTGCTGGTACATCGGCCATGATCCCGTGCCCTGGCTATCTGGACGGTATCAACGAAAATAGTAAGACATTATCCTATAGACATTCTTACCATTTCGTTCTTCCTCTTTAAAGGCTTATTATATGTTCTAAATATAGCTTATCTGTAAAACAGAATTAAGACAAATATACTTATTTACAACAGTATGACTAAAAACTAAAAGTTGATTTCATTCAAGTCGTAGCTGTAATGTTTACGTTTCATTTTTTTCTTTATGTTTCATATATTAACACTCTTTTTTTTATACTTTCATATGAATTAGTTTCACAGTGGTATGTAAATACCATATTCAATAAAGTCAAGATCGTTAACTATTGACTAATTATAAGATTTTCGTTTTCTTGATGTCACTTTTTTACTAGAATTTACGTTTTACCTTTAATTCATTTCATTTTAAATGCAAACGCCGTTTTGGTATAAAAGATCCCCAAAGAACCCACAAAACGAAAAAATTGAAAATGTTGCAGGCTTGGTTTGATTGAGCCTTTTCATGGACGGTAATGCAAAATGCAAGTAACTGTCCACGCCCCCTAGCACCGTCTTTAGCAGAATTCAACATTTAATCATAGTAATGGTGAAATTTTGAATTTAGAATCATCCGCAGATGTGTTCATACGGCGGTTGTCATGGAACCTTCAATTTGATATTCCATAAAAAGCATCAATCATTAGTCTAGATTACTAAATAGATGCCAAAACGACCGCAACTAATGTTTTATAAAATGATACTTGAAAAACATAAGTAAAATACAACGTTAATAACTGCATTTGATTTGCGAAAATGATATCTATTGTCATGATTAAAATTCTGGAGTAGAAGGGATCCCTCGGGAGCATTGAAAGAAAATTAAAGTCAATATTGCAGGCTTCATTTGATTGAGATTTCAAAAAAGTTAGATTTGATTCTTTACCATAGCTGTAGTGTTCATAAAACAATACAAAAGGAACAAGACTTGTTAAATGTTGAATTCTGCTAAAGTCGGTGCTAGAGGGCGCAGACGGTAGCTGGCAAATAACACTACTGTCCACGGACAGGCTAAATCAAACCGAGTCTGAAACGTTTTTCAATTTTGCCGTGTTGGGCGTTCTTTAGCGATTCTGTTTATCTCAATTTTGTTTGTCCCTACGATATTTGATTTATTTCAGATAATGCCACGAAATATTGCAATGAAAACGGGACATGGGCGGAAAAAGCTGTTTACGATCTTTGTGTTATTGAAGATGAAAATGCGCAAATGGATTCAGACGTAATATGCTTTAAACTTAATTAATATGTCATCTTCATATTGGGAATTGAATGCTTTTTTAAAGTTTAAATATGTCTTGATTAGTTAATGCATTTTGCAATAATGGCTTTCATGGCAATCTTGCAATCGTCAGAGCGTTTGAATTAAATAGTCATAAGTTAACAAAAATAACACAAAGACCAGACTCTGGACTTTGTTTTTGTTTTCAAGCACAATTTAAAATTACGAACGAGCAGTTCACAAGTACATATTTATTGCGTTTTTTTATATTTTTGAGAGTTTTCAGTTCTGGTATTGTTAAGCATATGTATAACAAAACATTTTGTGTACCATCTTTTTTTAATTTCAAGTTCATTTCATAGCAATGTTCTACATGATAGCATTAATCGGCAAGTGGAATGAATTATAGAGACTCATTTAGTCTTGTTAACTAAAATATATCAAGTCAAACTAATAAATACCATTACCTTTATCTTCAGATGCCACATTTGATGGCAATACGAGTTATTTACAACGTCGGGTTCTGCATCTCAACTTTAGCTTTGATTATAGCTCTTTTTATATTCATTTACTTCAGGTGAGTTCGAAAACTTGAAAGGTTTGTTCATTTGTTGTTTTTTTTTAAATTTCACAGTGAAGTTTCATTTTTTTACCTAAAAGCAGTTTTGGTGATAATAAGATATTGAAATTATTTGTTTTTTGTTTGGACACTTAAATGACTAGTTGACTACTTTTATATAATCAATTTTATATCAATTTACTCAGGATGGTACATGCCACGATAAAGCAGAAAACAACTTGTATTAAAAGGCTTCCAAACTTAGAAAGCCTTTTAATACATAACGTTTCAGCTTGCTTAGATTTGATTGCCCCTGTTACAGTAATTGGTTGTTGGTTTGATTGATTTTGGGTTTTACCACACACCGCCAAAGTAATGGCGGAGGAAGACGTAAGATGCCCATCCGTGCATTATTTCAGGCAGGAACGGGAACTTGAGTAGAACCATTGACTTTCCGTAAGTTAGCTTAATAGCTTTCTCACGTGAAATAATCCAAAGTCACTGTCTGGATTCGAACAAACAGCGGTGAGGGGCATGTGGTTTGAGATCAACGACCTTAACTACTCGGCCACGGACGCTCGTTTAAGTATTTGTATGTATAGCTGAGTTACAAGACATGTGGGTTTCCTTATAAAACGAGAAAAAAATGTTTTTTTTTGTAAATGAGAAACCGTATCTAATTGGTGGTTTGCTTTTAACGAACCTCTTCTTTTCCTAATTTGAACAGTAATTGCTGATTAAATTCTTTTTGAGATGTGATTAATGTTGGTTTCTACAAGCGCTCCTTGTTTATTAAAATACAATTATATGTTTTAGACACATTCCTCGATTAAATTCAAATGAATTAAATTCGAATACAAGAAAACGACAACATGGCTTTAATTTTAAGAACGTTTTTTAATACAATTAAAAGATTGATTGAAGAATATTTAGAATATTTAAGCCCTTGTTTAAGAAAGTTTTTAATCTTTTAAAAATAAGACAGACACGTTTCAATGATTGTTGTCTCTGATATAATATTATGATGAGTAATTAGAATATGGTAACATGCCTATAATAATTGTTTAACTTAATGATTTGCTTACATTTCCATCATGTCCATTGTTAAACAAGGCATATCACTATTATACTACATAATGGCTTGTGCTCGATTTCTTATTCAAGACCTTGTGCAAGAAGTAACAAACTTTCTCAAGTTGACTTATGAAATGAATTATGATATAAAAGGGACATTATGCATTGCTAAATACATTACTGACTTTATTGGACTCCTACACAGCTGCAAAAGCTATTTAAGACTCAAATAGCACCTGGTCCAATATATAGGTTGGCCGGCAGTGTACTCGTTCAGTATTGTACTCGACAATAAATAATTACATCATTCTATTCTATCAAAAACGTAAACACCTGATACATGTATATTGAACCTGTACCTTTGTGGGGCGTCCGTGGCAGAGTGGTTTAATTCAAACCACTTGCCTCTCACCGCTGTGGGTTCGAATCCCGACAGGGACTTTGGATTCTTTCATGTGAGAGCTATCCAGCTACCTTACGGAACTTCGGTGGTTCTACTCAGATTCCCGTTCGTGCCTAAAATAATGCACGGAAGCGCACCTGAGGTCTTCCTCAACCAGTAAAACTGGAACGTCGCCAAATGATCTATTACTGTGTCGGTATGACGTAAAACCAAATCAAACAAACAAAACCTTTACCTTTTTGACTAGATTTTATTTAAGTATTTTATTTTTCAGGAGTCTCCGGTGCCTTAGGAATAGCATACATTGTCATTTAATTGTTACTTTCATTATCAAAAACATCGTGTGGATTATTATGAGACATTCTCTTATGTACATGCAAGATTCCGCTTATTCTGTAAGTACAAACTTAAATTTTATTCATTTTTTATTTTTGTGTGTAATAGATTGGTTAGGTGGTCTGATGTTAATTGACCAAACGCACCATTCTTTCTTTTATTATTATATACGACTGCTACATTTTCGTCTACAGAAATTAAGAAATCAATGAAAATTTTAATGAAGAAATAGAAATACAGTATTTGTGTAGGTGTTTTAATCTGTGGTGAATGATACACTATTTTGGTAGAAATAGACACACCGTATTGATAGAGGTGTTTTACTCTTTGGTGAATGGTAAAATAGTTTGGTATCAGTGGGAAAATATACACAGTAAGCAATAGTTCTGACATTTCTACAGCCTTTCATTTAACATTGGAGTCAAGTTTTTGATTCTTATTCTATTGTCAAGGCACTTTCATATTTCTCTACAACAATTTAAACGTTCGTACAAATCAATATGTGTATATATAGTTGTTTTACGCAGCTAAATATTCTAATGATGACAAGGTTTCTTTTCCATAACATAATCATATAGAGCATCGCATCATATCGTGCCAAGCGGATTCTTAAGCGATTGTTAAAAGCGATGTTTGCATAATATTACAAAGGAAATTTGCATAAACTATGACTATATCTTATAATAGCAACTATTTGCATAGTTTTGTGACTTAATGAGACGAAAACGCCAGTGCAGTAGTAAACTTGGTACCACACTAAATCCTTTTCGTTCGAAGAAAGCGCCAGTTTTACCGATTTACGCGTCTGATTTACAAAATATGTATACAGACTTCTTCTAGCTGAAGGTTATCTTATTAGATATGCTTCTATAATACAGTGTAATTACATGAAACTTAACAGTACAATTTGATGGAACCTACAGTTATTTAACAATAGTTTGTATACTCACGATTGGCTTTATTCTTTTGTAAACATGTTTGATTTTGTTGTGTCTATGCTGTAGACAAAAGTTTGAGAGAAACAAAAACAAACCACTCCTCTTCTCATGTGCTATGATTTGTTACTGAACGTTTATTATGCAATTACTTTTTACAAGAAAGATATTTCAAACCAATGCACAAAACTATGGTTAAGATATTAAAGTATTTTAATAATACACTAACATTATATAGTGCTTTATTAATTTATAAGTCAGCTGTTATAATTGTTTGATTTATTAGATTTTTTTTAAATTATTTCAACAAAGATAGGTAATTATCAAAAACGTACCACCAAAAAATATTTATAAAAAAATAGTTTAAATTTATATTAAAGACCCATAATGTCTTAGCAATGCTTTTATCTCTAATTCTCAAAAGCTTTTTAATTTATGTGTACATTAATTGTATCCAAAAGTTACTACTTGGCCAATTACCTCAGCCATCTTTTTCATGTGTTGCTTTTTGGCACTAAGTTCATTTGTAGTGAATTAACATTTAGTATGGAAGTCAAAATACTGCTTTGTTTAAATTTTGCTACTTTTATGGCAAATTATGTTAAATGTATTCGCTACTTTTTTCATGTAACAAACATATAACATTCTCTTAAACAATTATTTAAACATAATAAAATTCATGATTTCCCTTTCTGAAAAAGTAGATATTTATTTGTTTCAGAGGCATAATATGTCTTTAAGGCCAGCATATAGTGTTTCATATTTTCTGTACATGTTTTTTGATATTGCAGTGGTGCTGCAAGACACTTACCAGCATATTCAATTTTGCGCACGCCACAAACTTCTTCTGGATGTTTGTTGAAGGCTTGTATCTTCACGTCATTATTGTTTGGACATACTCGGCAGATAAAATAAAACTACGATATCTGCTTTTTATTGGATGGGGTGAGTTCTATTGCCTTTTATTATATGATCTAAATATAACTGCAATCACATTGGTCCAAACAGTAGTCAACAGAACTTTTTATACAATCATATTCACTTGGTGTAGTATCATATTCACTGGCTAAATTGGATTTTCCCAGTCTAAAATAGATTGAGACCATATATCGTAGACTGTTAATTACGCGTGATTATCAAAACAATAATTGTTGCGTTTTGTTCTTAATGGTATATTTCTCGATTAAAATATCATTACTTCACTATTATACTTAAAAGTTACATCGCAATGATGAGTATAAACTTGAATTACTTTTGTATGCGCAACGTTAGCGTAGTTGTTGCACGCCTTCCACGTGCGTCTTTTTTCCCGCGCTTCAACGAAACAGACAAAACTTGTACATGTATAAGGTTGTACTTTCTGTGATTTTTTAAAAGATATAGCATATTCATACATGCATAATAAAACAATGATTGACTAGTGTGCCAAAAATGAGGCGATATTAACCGGCAGAAATAATATGTAATCTGCCGGTGAATATCACATCCTATTCAATGGCTCACTAGTCAATAATTGTATAATATTGCCTGGCTTTAACTGATCATATAAATTTAAATTTCCCCCTCTCGTCTATGATCAAGGAAAGGGTGTAAGGAGTGTCTCCGTAGTCATTTCCTTTTATGAGCAAACGCAATTAAGTGTCTATAAAATGTGCAATTTCAATTGCCGGCAGTGTTCTCTTTCTACCCTCCCGTTTAAAATTTGTTTCTCACGATAAGAATTTCACACAGTACTTTAAAATGTTCTCGATGAGCACTTTCAGGCAAATCAACATTATCTGCATTTTAAATTAAAACGATTAAAATGTGCGTTTTTAACAGGTTTCATACAGACAAAGTGGAATTTATAAAGATTTTGCTACGTTTAAGAAATATGATAATATATTGTATAACTATAATTATGTAAAGGATGACAAAATTTCTTCGTATTTAATTTCTTTTGCTTATATTGTTACTGTTTATAAATTCTAGGTTATGATATAGAAAATTATCTTAGACGAGTATTATATAGGTATTAAGTTATTATCAAAGAAACTTCTTTGCATATTCTTTATTATTTTAAACATTAATATTATAACTTCGAGTGTTTTATAAAAAGAGGAGGGGTGGAATATTTCTCATGAAGTACTTCATTATTTTCTTTTCGTTTACATACAAGACGGTTAAAGTTACATTAAATAAATTTCATAAAAACAGAAATAGCGACATTTCATTGATAAATTGGGTTTCATATCGACTTCAGATCTTATTTTGGTGTCCAGACAACCAAAATGTGTTTTATAAGCATAAAAAATGGACAACCTCATTGTGGCGAAATCGGAAGTACAATATTTGTTTGCATGAGAAACTCCGCCTTCTGATCATCCGTACATCAATATTAAATCAACAAACATGACTATAAGTAGCCGTCCTAATTTAACGGTATATTTCCTCATTGTAACGGATGTTTTCATACAAATTTAATCTTTTTTTATGAGATGATTACTTTTTACTGAACCTCGGGCCTAGTGCACCGTGAAGTTAAACGGTTAAAATGTGTTTGCACAAGAAAATCTCATAATTGTTGTGTTCCGGATAGCAGTTATAACATTGTGACGTAGCGCATACACGAGCTGATTATAATCTTGATTTGCATGTTAAAATTCGTATACGAACTTTAGTGTTACCGTGGGGTTTTCCGTTTAAAATCCTTATTTATGAACAATATTTGATGAGATTTACAACAATACTGTTAAAAAGGTAAATTAATCTGTAGAATGCTTGGTTTTTAGGCCGACGGTAAAATATTTTTACATATTTATTTAGTGTAGCTTTAACGTTTGTACTTGAAATTAAACGTTTTGGTTATAATGTACCGATAAATACATACAATGGTTATTAAATGACCATGTAATATTGCAATATATGCAAAATCGATTAAATGTTCAAAATATAAATACATTTATACTACAATCTTCATTGCATTAAAAACACTATGTATTGATCGGCAAAGAATAATTCTGTTTGGTGCTTAAAATCGAACAATGTTAATGTCAGACTTTCTTAAATGACAAGCCATATAAGATTCCTTTTAACATATAATAAAGGACACAATTACTGTGTATCAATTTAAGTGTGCAATACCTATAAATACACATTTTTACTTTTTCGTTCTTTCTTTGAAATATAATGGCGTATTAAGATTAAAGACTTATTAAAGTCTGCAGGTATTGTAGGGAACGTTTCACATATAAATACATGTTTAACCAAAAACAAACAAAAATATTTCGAACTAGATTCTAATTGATAAATGTTCGTACAAGTTGAAAAGTCAGGAAAAGACACTATATACATGTTTATGTGTTGTTCGTTTAAACCATTGATTCTTTTAGCATTGACATTTGCTTAATCCGGTGCTTAGGGGCGTAGGGGATGTTTCATTGACTATTATCCTCTCAGAAGTAAACAGAGTTTTCGAGTCTGATGTATTTTAGCTTGATTTGCTACTCTCTAGGGATCTCCCGTTTGCCAGATATTTTAGAAGAGAGGAAAAGCAATTTCATTCATTATTTGAGCCGCGTCACGACAAAACCAACATAGTGCGTTTGCGACCAGCATTTATCAAGACCAGCCATGCGCATCCGCGCTGTCTTATCAGGATCCATGCTGTTCGCTATTAGCTTCTCTACTTGTTATAGGGTTTTTTTAAGCGAAGAACATGGATCCTGACCAGACTGCGCGGATGTGCAGGCTGGTCTGGATCCATGCTGGTCGCAAACCCACTATGCTGGTTTTGTCGTGACACGGCCCATATTATTTTTCAGGTTTGCCTTCGATTAATATAATCGCATGGGTTATAATAAGGGCTGTGTATGACAATGATCAGTAAGTGATTTTACTTTTTTTACTTTAATTATACACATTTTATCACTATTAGTACTTAAGATTGTACTTTTTTATTTTAGATGATACTTTAATGGTACATCTTTTATTATGATAAAACTGTATTATAAGTACTTAAGACTTATCAATGTCAGATTTACAAATTAATATTTTAAATTTTATCTAAAGTTAAGAGGAGTATTGAATTTAAAAAAAAATAAATAAAACTAATAATAAAAAAAATAATAAAAAAAAACAAGATTCATATCATGTTATGAGGAATGTTTACAATAATATCATTTTATTTTTATGTTCAAGGATACAGAAAAGAAATACAATATTCCATTTTTAAGAATCTATTTGTATCAATTTGCTCTAGTTCAAAGACAGATTTTACTTAACGCGTCCCTATGTTATTATTGTTTCGTAATATAAATTACGGGAATGAAAATTACTGTAAAATAATAATACGACAAATAGTTATTTTCTAAATAATAACCTCTTTATTTCTGGAAGTCTTTTTTTCTCGAAGTTTTTGTTTCTCGAAATCATTTTATTTCGTAATTTCACTTCAGTTGTTGGTTTCCTCACCCAGAGGGTAATTCTGTATATGATTACGTCTACATCGGGCCAATTCTCTTTGTTCTTCTTGTAAGTACATTTATAATATTTAAACTCAGACAACGGTGTGATATAATTTTACAACAAAAGGTTAATTTGATTTAGTTAATTCTCTACGCAATACGTCTCAAATTATAAGTATATACTTGTTTGTGTAATAGCTATGCTGCTCAAGTTTCTAATTTGTTGTAATATATTATTACCATGTCAAATGTATACGGTTAATTGTAGCTTTCGTACTTTTACGACGCAATAAATATGATTTATAAAAAAGGAATGTTGCAATAACGGAGTATAATTACGTTTGACCTTTTTGCTGGAAAGCCTTAAAAAGTTCTACGGATGAAACACATCATGAGTTTTTTCCATTTTGAATACACATATTGTGACACATGCAATGTATAAGTAATATTATATTAAGAAAGTAATATTGTCAATATATTAAAATAAGAGGATATTTATATCGTATTATGAACGAGTATATATAAATTTTTTTGACATACAAACGATGAGCATTGTTGAACTTCATTTCTTCCTTTTTTGCAGGCAAACATAATTTTCTTGTCAACAATTGTGTGGGTATTGATAACGAAACTGAGGGCATCAAATTCCCTGGATACACAATACCGGTAGGTTTAGTAGAAGCATTTTATTTATTTTCAATTCTTCTGCAATTGTGATTAAACTGATACGTATATATACGTTTAAAATACTGCACGTTTGTAACGTCGTTTTTCATTGGATGATCGTGACGTTTCAATTATTAGTTATAAAGATTGTTGACAGGTTATATGACCCTATATAAACGGCTCGGTTTATATTTGCAAATAGCCGTTTATATAGGGCCATATAACCTGTTAACAATCTTTATATCTAGTGATATATCGACAACATAACGTTTAACAAACAGCTGATGGTGCTTTACAGTTAACATTTAAACATTATTTCATCAAAAGTCGTTATGGCCAACAAAACTTTCTAATTTAATTTATTACAAATATAACTAAACTCATTCTAAACAAATAGGCTAGCACATGATCCTAACAATCCTATGTTTTAAACACGCATTCTTAAACCAAAACAAAACAACAATAAGAAAGAAAATCATTACTGCACCAAACGTCTCGTGTAGAATTTGAAGATATACTATGCTCAAATTTGATATTAAAAATATTGATAATTTCTACATAGTCTCTTTGTAAATATAAAATATACATGCTTTGATTTCACACGGAAAAGACATGTTATGTTTAAAATTGTATACACTTTAGGTTGTCATAGTATGAATAAATGAATATATAGTGCCATTAAAATAACTGGCAGTTTTTTTTAAGAAAAGACCAACTTTACTTGACCTGTAATAGGGAACACAGCTTCCTGTGCATAGGTTATTCATTCTTTTTTTTCAAATTACACAAAATTCATTTAAAACTTCTTGGATTTCAATACATTTCTGTGATTAAAATTTTTTACTCAAAGATAAGCATATTATATCTTTAAGACAATTTTTGGCATAATTGAAAACCGTGTCTATAACTTTACTAACTTGTCTTAGTTTGTACATTTACCTGAACTTGTGAAACAATAGGTGTATTTCCAAACGTCAACAATGAATTAAACCCTGTATTTGAAATCATTTGTTTGAGCAAATTTCAAAATGCAATCGGAGTGATATGTATATCTAATATACTACAAAGCATGCATTTAATATATCTTCTGGAATGATTTACTCAGTCGTATTTCAAACCCTGTTTATGAAGAGTTAATACTTTTTATACATGCATGTTGATAAACGGTGATGTTTCCGTATAAATCAGGTTTCATAATATTTACAAATTGCAGACATTTTTGTTAAATTTGTTATTTTAAACACCCAACGTTTCTTTTGTTTTATAGCGTTTGTTAATCAAGTTAGTCCATGTTTATGTAAAATATAATGTCTCTTACGTATACATAATTGGAGAACAGTTCATCACAGTCTTGCCTTTAATATTTGCTTGTTCGATTCATACAATTTTGTGTTGGTTTTCAGCAAAGCGGTCAAAGCAACGATTATACTATTCCCCTTGCTTGGAATAACCTACGTCTTGTTCATTATACCACCCAGTGATCATCCACAGGTGAAACTCGTCTTTAGATACATCAATGCCGTTCTTCAATCCTTCCAGGTAAAGATTATAAGTTGTTTCCACTTGAGATATGTGGTTTCTGAGTGTAAGTGCTTGATTTACTGCTTATTATAACTGTAACATTTTGACATACGGTAGCATAACATTTTAACAGTATTGTTACTTATTAAATTACAGTAATGAAGACAAAAATGTACCAAAATAGAAACGGATTTCTTAAAAAGAAATATTCCAAAATACAGTGAATTTAATTGTATTTATAATGAAACGGTTGTGCTACAAAAAGTGAAATCCCTTTGTATTATCATTCTTCATTATTACAGTAACTGTAGTACACAGCATATACATTCTGTGGGGTACTTAAATATTTGTTCTGTAAAATAATGGTATTGTTGTCTTTTATTATTTTGACAATGTCAAAATCCTGTGCTGGACTTTTTGTTGTAGAATTAGTGAAAAATCTGGAAACAAAGTGATCCCTCGGAAGCATTAATCACAACAAAATTGCATGAAAATTGCAGACTCGGTTTGATTGAGTCTGTACATGAAAAGTTATATTTGTAATATATTAAATCAGAAATCATTAAAGAAAAACCTACATTGAATCGTTCGTAAATCATGTAATTTCTTTATTTTGCAGGGGTTAATGGTGGCCATATTTTATTGCTTCTTAAATGGAGAGGTAGGTTGTAGATCAAATTTATACTTTTGAAATTTAATATATCTGTTACATCGCTTGGTTGTTGTCCATGTTATTCGAAGAATATCTACTTATTTCTCTCCTGTATTTAACATAAAATAAACAATATGTTCTAGGTGAAAGGAGTGTTAAAAAGAAAATAAAATAAACAATATTTTTTAGGTGAAAGGAGTATTGAAAAAGAAAATAAAATAAACAATATTTTCTAGGTGAAAGGAGTGTTAAAAAAGAAAATATCCAGATTCAATGATGCTAGATCTCTCAGCACGAAATACACGCGCACTTCTTACGGATGGTCTAGAGGTAGTCGTGACTTTACCAACACCGTGACACTTGCCAACGGAGCACTTCTAGATCCTAATCATCGTGTACCAAACACTGGTAAATCTGGAAATGCAGAAACAATACCACTTACTGACACAAATGAAGTGAAACAAAATGAATTCAATTGAAGACATTACTTAAATGACTGTTTAACATTACAAGAACTGTGTTTGTTAATCATAGTTTTGCTATATTTGACAAAACTGATGCAGGCAGGTGTTAAAATGGATTCTCTCCATGGACAAGTGTTTCATTATCCAGATTTTGTGGTCATATAAAGGGATTCGAATTCGTTTTTCTACAATGAATGAATCAGTAGAAAGAACTGTGGTGTTTTAGCTACAAGGTGCAGCAGTCATACTTAATACGTTTATTTGATTTTTATATTTGGAATTTTTGAAAATATTCTTTCTCGTGGCGTATCATCTGTTTAGAAAGGATAATGTCATACATGTCACGTAAAACTGGATTATGACATCATCAAAATTTCTTTAAACGTAGACTACATTTTAAAATTCTTCAACAACCTGACATTTATAAATGTGTACAGCTTATATATGTCGAATTACAATGTAAACAAACGACATTATTTCCACAAAAACAGGTTTCCCGCCAATATTAATACTTAATGCTTTCAGAAATGCCATGTGCACAGAAGAATTTACAATTATAACTTAATACACACTACCTTATTATCCTTATGGGTACAAGTAATTGTCACAAACAACGTTTTTGTTCAAGTTTTAAATGCTTTTTATTGTTTTCACTTCTGTTCCAGTGCATAAAATCCTATAAATAAATTCTAGATATACATGCATTTTTTAACCAACACATTTTAAAGGCTTTAAAGAAGCATCATTATGTACACACGAACAGGCAAAAGAAAAAACACCAACTTGTTACATATGGGCTTTTAACTGCTTATTTCTCGGGAAAATTTGTCAGAAAACAGCAACAGAAAACCCTTCAGTATATAATTCTGGTAATTTATAAAAAAACAACAAAAGACAGAGCAATTTGCCTTTTATAAACTATTATTATAAAGTATTTTTACTTTATACCTTTCACAGGATTCAAAACTGGTTATGTGTGATCTGATATTTATAACAGATGGACGGATAAATTGCGGTAAAATATTTAACGAATGAACATCCTTAATTCACAACAGTAATATGAAAGGCGTTGTTGTGCACAGTAAAAAGTGTTTAAGTCCGCTCGCCAACATTAACCAGTTAACATTAAAATATTACCAATATTTTCCTTCTGAAAATATGGTTGAAACTCTAAATTTATATAGGTTCGAGATATATTGGTTTAGAAACATCTGTTGTAGGATAAAATACATGTATAAAACTAGACAGGGTGTTCGTAATCGATATAATATTTCTTAGTGCTTTTTTCTCTTCTTTTGTGTTGTATGTTTCTGACAAAACGGGTAACCCATGCTTAACACTTGTGTCTTTTCCTCCTACATGTATCATGGTAGTCATGTACCCAGAATAATTGAGTCAGTGTTCCTGGGAATTTCATGACTTCAAGATTTTAAAACTTAACTATTTCATATTGAAATGTGGTATAAAGCTGAAAGCCAGTGCTAGGGGGTATGTTGATGGTAGCTTGCACCCAACCATTTCTATCTCTAAATTTGACCTGAAGAATAAAAGAAGACCATGATAATACAGTTATTGAATTTTTATTGTGTAATATCTCTATTTATCATCCGGCACCCTGTAAGCATACGGGTTTTAAGTTCAAAACAGTTGATAACATCGTAACTATATTCATTAATGAAATGTGAAGGATTTCTGGTCTCATAAATTATTCATTTATTTTTGAAATTTTGTTGTATATGGACATGTTTGATAGATTTATTGTAACAGTTGTCATTCTTTTTTAGCAAAATCTGTTAAATAATAGTCATACCCATATGAAAAACATGAACATCGACTATCCAAATACGTACCATTTACTAGATTAGAAAACATAAATATAATAAGAGTATGGTAATGTTATTACAATTGTTTTACTTCAAATTTTATTTATTCTATAGATTATACATGTACAGAATGTTTTAGCATTTTACAACAAAGCCTAACTGTGTAATCCAACACATATGCATGTAGTATATGTGTGTCAATTCCGCTTCAATACGTCAAGTATTTATGATCAGTATATCATGGCTATATTCTCTTTTGTAAAGTACTACACAATGACCATTCAATAACGGTCCATTCATAATCGATGTAATTTTATCACCTTTCTAGCGACTGTGTTTCAGTTCAATTTTTGATACTATACAGTGCACACGTATTGAGATTTTGTGCTCGATTGTGTGCACATTATACATGTAATACACCCCTGATGAAGGCATAATACGCCGAAAGTACTTGGGTATTTATACTTTAGCACTGTATGAACGTTTATTTTCTCCAAATATATATATAATATATATATATATATATATATATATATATATATATATATATATATATATATATATATTGTCTAAATCTTAATGTTACTTAAGCCTTGAGATATAAGTACTTATTCTAATAAACAAAGTATTTCAACAATTCATACAGTCATGTATTTTTATTATAACATGCTATTTTTTATTTTTGGAGGGAATATTTCTTTTTTGGCGTAGAAATAGTAGATTTTTATGTTAGCAATTTACATAGCTCTACAGAAACGTTCCATTGACATTAATTTTGACATTCTAAAATTTATACTTACATTAATGTATGCTTGTAAAGTTATTTATCATCTACGATTTTTTTTTAATTTGAATTAGTACTTAAATTCAAATTGTTACTTACTTGCGGTTTACATATTATTTAATCTCATATCATGATTCATAAGTCTATACTTTATTCCCTTATCTTAATATGAAATTATTTAATTTTAATTAACTTATATGCAATCTTGACATTTCATAGAAAAAAACTTTTTTACATAATTTCATTTTAATCAAGATTTCCGATTTCTAAATGACCATGTACCTTTGATAACATTCAGATTTTTTTTCTGTTAAATATTGATTCATTTTTGCTTTTGAATAAAGCATAAAAGCAACCACACAATGCATTATTTTTCTTATTCCTCGACTCGTTGACGCTCAAAAACTTTGAAAACTGGAAACACTTTAAAAAACGGGTTTAAAATTTTTAAATATACATGTATTCCAAAATCGTGCCAGAAATTATTTTTTTAAAATCAAAAAATTTTCCCTTTAAACTTTTGGGTGATGAAAAAATTAAAATTTTTATACTTAAAAATCAATAGATTAATCGGTTAATAAGACGGAACTTATCAAACTGACTTGTCAATAAAAATATGTCAACGCAGATTTCATTTTATGGTAAAAAAGGATTAACTAGCAAAATTAATACATTTTTTTGGTTTTGTTTGGGGTTTACTTTCAACACCGACACAAAATTAAAAGTGTATGTCAAATAACCCCCGGTTCCCGTTTAAAAACCGGGGGAAAAAAAAATTAAAAACCCGTTCTTTAACTTAAAGGGACGAACAAAACACACCTAAGTCGAACCATTAACGTTCCGTAAGCTAGTTGGAAAGTTTCCGCACATAAAAGAATCCAAAGTCTCTGTCGATATTCGAACCAACATCGGTGAGAGGCAAGTGGTTTGAGAGTATATAAAGTCTGCTTTAAACAGTTTATTATACAAACGAAACATTATATTATCGATTAAGTAAAATGCCCTTGGTATAAACGTGTCATAAAAAGATCGTGAAACTCAACAATCAGGAAAACTAACGTTTCATTTTTGTCAATATGATTAACGATAAAACCAACATTTATTTTATCAGGTATGAGCTTGTCAGAAATGATTGTTAGAAATGATGTGTAAATTTAAACTCATAACGTCTACGCACTTAACTTCCATTTGTCTCTGTCTATCTTATAGATCATTTTCCTCACGGGTATAAAGTTATGAGGGAGATGATATATTCTACAACTTGTTAAGTAGTTTTACAAGGAAAGTATGTCAGTATGTAAATCTTAGTACGTGCTATACTCTTACAAAACATCGGGCGACCCGGGTTCTAATTCCGGACGGTGCAGGTCACTTTCGTTGTGATTCCCATGAAATCCCTTCTACTGTACCTCTGCTCTGGCATGTACAGAAATTACAGTTCCTTGCGAAAGTGAAGGCAATAAGTACTAGTAAACTGCTTTACATCCCGCCAAAAAAAAACAACAACAAAAACAAACAAACAAACAAACAAAAAAACAAAAAACACATTCATTCTTTTTGCAAAATTGGGTCATAAAAAGGCCCAGACACATTTGACTTTTTATGAAAACTAACGCTGCAGATTTTGCCAATATGGACGTGTATAAAACCCCAGTTTATTCGATCTACTACAATCAAAGGGTCCTGAAATTTATTGTTACAAAATATTTTTAAATACTTGAATAATAAAGGAATGAGGTCTTAAACCTTTCGCTTGCCTGTCAAAAAAGGCGATTAATTTTAATCCCTAAGGATGAGAAACGCTCATAATTTTACGATTTCTAAAAATATTTTCTAACGTGTTTTTCAAATTTAAATTACTTTAGAAGGTCAATATTTAATTTAGCAAAATAGTTTTCTAGTTTCCGTGCAAATTAAATTTAATGCATACGCTTACTTTTTGAAAATTACAACAAACCCAAAGAATTTTACTTTGCAGTACCAAAATTTTTTTATCGAATTAAATTTTTTTTCAAAATGATTAATTTTCATTATTTAAATAAAAAATTACAACCCAAAAAAACAAATTTTTTAAAATGGGAAAATTTAAAACGTGATGTCCCCATAATTTTTATGTGTTTAAAAACATTTTTGTTCAAAAAGAGAAAAAAAACGCGTAAATACCGAGTCACTTAATGCATTCAACTAAAAGTATTTACTAATGTTTTATTCACTCTATACGTTGTGTATTTAATATTTATAATCAAGTAATGAATACAGTTCGAGGTTTTCTTCACAAGAGTCTTTTTACAGACGTAAGAAGAGAGTATGCTAGGATAAACATGGTCCGAGGCAAAGACGAGGATAAATTGTTGTTTGTCCCTGCGGACGATCTTCGTCACGTCTGTGAGAAGACCCTTTTGAAGAGAATACAAGTAACTGTATCTTACTTATACGACGATATAAAACAGATAAAGTCATAAACGCATTTAATAATAATTAGATCTAATTGAAAATTATGTAAGTTTTTATTGAAAATATAAAGCTATAAAAATATTTGCATGGCCTATAAGCGTTTAGCAGTGCAAGGTGAGGCGAATTGTATTTGCACGGAATTTTCGTGCACTTATTTCAGTCGGACACAATTCCCTTGCATTCACAAACAGTCATGTTAAAATGCTACCTGCAATAGACTGTCAGTTTTACTAAAAACAATTATGTCGATCAACATTGGAAAAAAAAACACCAAGCATGTTCAATGTTATTAAGATGATAACGCTTTTTGGAGTCAACCTTTGGGTGAGTTTCCTTTACTTGTTTTGGTGGAGGGGATATTTTTTAGTGTTTATTGTGTTTTCTGATATATGAAATGATTGAGTTTCGGAATTATTCCAAAACGCACAACTGTTCGCTTTGTCAAACAATTTTGTTTCAAATGCTTAAATCAACAGTTACATTGTTCCATGAAATGACCATACATTACATGTTTGCTACCACATTTCCGTCCGTTTTTCTATGGGTCCTATGGAGCACAGTAAACTATCGCCTCTTTACATGCTTTTAAGATTTAGATTTGACTAAAATCTCTTGATTTTAAGTCAAACTCTTGAATAATAGGTAGAGTTTTATCTTCACATAAGGCCGATGGTGTCGATATTTTGTCACATTTTGGTTACCGTAATTTGCTATACAAAACTAGTTGAAGGGCAGTTGATTAAAACTTTCACACTTATTCGAGAGCAAATAGGTTGTCAATTTGGCCCAAATAAAATTACGTAATTATGATTTGACAGAAAATAGGGAAATTTTTTAATTAAGAAAAATTCTTTCTTTTTTCAGGCCAAAGTATGTTAAGCACTTTAAAATCCCAACGCCCCTGCTTTTTTTAAAGATAGTAGCGAGAATAACGTTCCCTTTCCCCAAGAACTTTTACTATATCATTTTTAAATGGGAATTAAGCTACAAATGTTTTGAAGAAAAAAATGGAGAATTTAAAGGGTTATTACGCCAAATTTGTCTTTTCATTTTATTTTCGCAGGAATTTTTGTTTAAAATCTTTAATGGGGCCAATGATTTCATTTTAAAAAATTTTAAAATTTGGGTCAGAAAAAATTCTTGCCGTTTAAAACAGGGCATTTTTTCTGGGCCTAATAAAGGATCCATCCGTATATTTCAGCTACACTAAATCCACGTGGAAGTTTACTGTTATATAAAAGTGTATTGTTACAGACGCACGCCTTTTTGAATAACTTTGCTGGGGGTATAGTCGTGTAACTAGTAATAAATGAGAGAATCACGTTTTGCACGAAATCTTTAATTTAAGCAATTCTCATAGATCCGACATAAAGTCGAATTGAGAAAACGATAAGTTTATATATCCAATCCAATGTAAGATGAATACACATTTAATGGAATTTTTTCTTCCCTTTTAATTTTAAATTTTTGTTTTAGCGTTTTAAACTAGGGCAATGTTTAAAAAATAATTATTTTCCCTTTCAATACGATTATCCCCAGTTTTTAAACTTTTTAGGATAGGCCAACATTTAAAGTTTTTAACCTAAAAAATGTCGCACGTTTTTCATAATGCGTAAAAATTGGGAATTATTTGTGTTTTATGTTCTAACTTTTTGCAAATTTAAAAAAAAATTTTTTCCCCTCGACGTTTTGATTTTTTTTGACTTGATAATAAAAAAA